CAGCTACATAACAAGCAACAATGCCAGATAGGAGATACCTTCTTTTGAGTTGTTGGCCAGGGTGGCCAAAGGTACTCCTAGGTAGTAACCCAGCATAGAACTGGGAAAATGAACAGCAGACCTCAACCTTATCTAAAGGAATATTGACAGATTGCTGGTAGAAGAGGAACAGCTGACCATCCTAAAACAAAGACCTCTAGATAAGCTGACTAGATTCACCAGAAGGGCAAGTCATGGGGAATGGCTGTGGGTGCCGACAACACAGCAGACAGTAGCAGGGATATCAGAGTATAAGGGCTCTAGTTGGGGGGAGGGAGGCTATGGAAGGGTGCCATCTGGGAAGTGAGTGTGTAGTTGAATGAGATGGTTTGGGATGTTCTGTGTGATATACACACACACAAAAATGAACATATTTTTAAGAAATGTATTATATTTGAGGAGGAAGCATGGAAATTTATGTCATGCTAATTAGTAGAGGTGATAAACAATTTGCCCGATGACTTTATAGACATACACAGGCGCCAAGGATCCAAGTGTAACCATTACGAGTAGTAATAATCAGATACATACAGATTAGAGATGCAGGCGCCAACATCTCAGTGTTAGTAGCAAAAACAATGAGTCATTCTGCAAGGAACAATATATTCTAAAATGAAATGGAGATCTTTTTTAAAGGTTAAAAACTCATCCAATTTTATGTCTTACAGGGCTTATACTGAGTTCTAATATATAACTATTATTAATTCAACTGATTTGCTTTATGTTAATCAGTAGATGTGAAAAACATTATCATTGAAATCTACCTGATTATCCATGCTCCATGCTCAGATGCCAAGGAGCTCAGAAAGTAACCGATTTTGACTAGTAATAATCTGATATATACAGATTAGAAATGCATGTGCAAACATATTAATGCCAATTGCATTAAAAATGAAGTTTTCTGCATGAAATCTGTATTTTAATAATGAAATTGAGATATTTTTTAAAGGTTAAAACCTCATTTAATTTTATGTCCTATAGGGTTTATACTGAGAAGGAGCTCAGAAAGTAACCGATTTTGACTAGTAATAATCTGATATATACAGATTAGAAATGCATGTGCAAACATATTAATGCCAATTGCATTAAAAATGAAGTTTTCTGCATGAAATCTGTATTTTAATAATGAAATTGAGATATTTTTTAAAGGTTAAAACCTCATTTAATTTTATGTCCTATAGGGTTTATACTGAGTACAATATTGTGTAACTGTAATAATTCAACTATAAACCTAAAAATGTACAGCCAATTTTGTAAGAGATGCATCCTAGCTCAGAAAATTGTTCTTGAATATGTCAATGCTGATGTAATGAAATGCTTCTTATAAGTATGTGGCTGTTACATAAATAATTAAAAAATAATCACAACTCCACCGTTCCATGAGGTAACATCCTTGCTCCTCAAATGCTAAGAGAATCTATTAAACTGTGTATGCAATGAATGAAGCGATTCCAGCTCAGATGGGCAGGCCAGGGTGTTGGCAAGAACCACAGAGTAAGGATGAGGCCAGGCAGAGGGGATATATGGGCCCATCAGCAGCAAGAGTTTCTCAGAGGTCCTCAGAATTGGACGGTACACATGTGTGATAATGGGGAAATGTTCTATGTACATTGTGGAGCTATATGTTCTGTGTGTGGTGCTGGAATGGTCCCACATCGCTGGTAGAAAGGTGAGCACTCACCCTGTTGGCTCTCTACTGGTAGCCAAATCCCTTTATATGATTGTACCTACTGTGCTCTGCTCCTTGTCACATGTCCCCCCCTGGTGCAGTCCCCTAAAGCAGCCTTCCAGGGAGAAGTGTCCTGGGTGGGAGACTCGTCGGAATGGATACACTTGCATCCTCATACAGGAAGGCCTCAGTGTTCTCATGTCGCTTGGACATGCAGGACAGAGTTGTGTCAAAGAGGAGGGTGATGCTCTAGCAGGCCTAGCCCAGGCCAGGGGTCTCTCCATGGATGGCTGGGCACACAGAAGTGGGATGGACATACCTAGCCTTGTGCCCACCACCTCAGGAGCTGCAGCTGTCATCGTGGGCCGTCTCCACACACCCTCTCAAAGCAATGCCAGATCTTCAGACACAGTGAGGTGGACACAGGCCAGAGCTGGGGTAGTGAGGAGATAGTGCCAGTGAGATGGAAAGGGGGCCGCATTGTTGCCGAGCCCTGTTTTTTTCTGGACTGTTTTGATCTAGGAACTAAGAACTTGAAGTAGAATTTGCATCTTTGTCTATACTTCACATGAGCAAAAGTAATATTCGAAGTTTTGTTAACAGTTGTGTAAAGGAGGCTCACCTCCTAGGAGAGAGGCCGAACAGGAACTGCTGTGCCTTACGCTGAGGAAGACATATCCCCTTTTCAGTGCACACCCTTTCTGGTCTCTCCAGGTTCCCTGTTAGTCTCTGGAGAATCCACAACACGCAGCTGATAACTGAGCCAGTAGCCTGCGAGGCCACACCACTCCAGATACCGGTTCCTGGAACCTTGGCCAAAGGTACTTGCCTCCCATCAGAGCCTGCCGAATCCTCTTGCCCATGGTGAGCATGCTTTGGAGGGCGGCACACGTGCATCACTGTTAGCAGTTGCTGTTTAGATTTAATCTGTTTGCTCCCTGAGATCATTTGTGGTCAGCACTTTTCTACAGCTCTCCTCTGACTTAGAGGAGCGATTCTTTGAGGAATTCTCTTCAGAGCAGATTCATGCTGTTACATTGGAATATTCATATAGCCCCAAAGCCCTCATATTCCCTCAAGCTTATCATTTGGGTAGGTTTATCTTAGGTTCTAACTACTGTCAGAACTTGACAATTGCTCCAGGTTGTATTTTTTCTGTTTGTGTTGCTGGGATGGACCCTGATGCTTCATGCATGATAACCAAGTGCTCCTTGAATCATTCCCAGCCCTATGTTGGATGCTGCTATAATTTTTAGGTTCCCCCCTCCTCTCCTGAGCTAGAAGTGGTCTTCGGGCCTCTCCCAGCCACCGTCCACCCGGACAGCTCAGCATCTAGAGGTCCAAGAACTCTGGTGGCAGGTCTTCTGCCCCCAGAGACATGGAGGCACAGCTCAGAAGCATCTGGATTGTGGCCTCCCGCTTTGCTCTCATGGGAACTTGGATAATATTTCTCTGGTGGGTGAAAAGCTAGCCCATTTGCTAGTGATTACCTTTTCCTGTATCACCTGATTGCCCTCTGCCCACTGTGGTGTCTCCAGTGGTCAGGTGTCCCTCTGGCATTGGAAGATCAATGCCTACTTACAAACAAGCTCCAGAATCCATCGCTAGATGGCAGAGGGCTTCCAAAGAATGTATAAAAGCCTCTGGTCACCTGGACCCTGCTGGGTGAACAGGTGGGGCTCAGGTTTCTCAGCCCTTGGAACACCCACAGGCTATTTCCCAGCCCTAAGACAGCTGTGGTCTAGGCAGGGTGCCTGTGGAGGTGGCTCTCCTGCAAACCCCAGTCAGCCCTTTCAGTTTTCTGTGTGGGCCCTGGCTGTTGGACTAGCCCTGGTGGCCTTCCTGACAAAGGCAAGTGGTGCTGCTGCAAGTCACACGTAGTCTCCACCCAGGGACCAAAGGCCTTGTGCTCTTGCTATCTCTCAGATGGACATTTGTGGCATGAACCAGAATGGGGTCTTCCCGGAAACTCAGGCCAACAGTGTGAAGAAGGTCCTGCCGCGCCCCCTGTCCAGGGTGAATGGCTGGTCACCGCCCCTCCACCCCTTCCAGGCAATAGCCTGGACCACCTTCCTGCTCGTGTCCATTTCTGCCTTTGGGATCTTCATCCCCTCTCTGCCAAGAAACTGGAAATATGCTGCCTATGCCGTATCCTTTGTGAGGGGTTGGGGGCGGGGCTGGAGTTGCCTGTCTCCTGGAGGTGGAAGGGCTCCTGAAGGTCTCCAAGGTCCTGGGCTCCACCATGCCTATGCAGTGGACTCTGTCTCTGCCTACACCACCTGTCCCCATGGCCCTGAAGCCACAACCCTGTGTCTCCTACATGGGCTATACTTCATGTCCTGGTAGAAAGAGGCTCCTGCTACTGTGAATGGAAAGTCTGCCAGACATGTGAGGACAGGAGAGGTGCTGGAAGTGACTCCACCAGTCACATTAACTTTCTCACAGCGCACAGAGAAGTTCATCGGTGTTGACTCGGCACAATAGCCAGGTTCATAAGGAGTCTGGAAGCAGAATAAACCCTTGCCCGGCTGCCACATGCCCACATTCTGCAGTGTGTTTGTACAGCCCTGCAGGGTCCCAGTCCTAGGGCATGGAAATGGTCTACAGGAGCCCTGCTCCTGGATAAGCCCTTTAGAGGGAATGTCACTGGGCAGTGGGGCGGCCTACATCTTCACTCATTTCTTCATAGTATGGTGTATATTTGGGGGGGGGGTCCGCAGTCATACTTAACTTATTGTGACATCAGATTGGGAATCCCAGGCCCTCAGGGGGTAGTGCCTCATTAGAGCCCATGTCCAAGCTGGTACAAAGTGGCTTGTGCTTAGAAAATCACGTATAAAAACCAGAGATTGATCCCTGAATGAGGTTTGTCTTACTGAGGACCCAGGCTGGCTATGGCTCTGTCTGGGAACTTTACTTTGGCTGCCATTCTGCCAGTCTTGGGAGTCAGGAACACCAGGTATGTGTTGAGTAGTAAGCAGGTAGGAGGCAGCACAAGACACAGGAGCAGGTGGCAGTTACAAGGGCCCAAGCAGGTTCTTCACCATCTCTGGGGCCTCAGGAACCTGCAGTGTGAGTCTTCTTTCCAGAGACCGGGTACAGTGGTATCTCCAGCTTTTAGAAAACAATGTGTAAAATGTAACCGCACAGTCACCTCTTCAGAAACCAAGGTCTGCCAGTCTGCCTCCACCTTTCACATGTACGTTCAGGGAAGCATTTTAAAAATATCAGATGTCATAAACTGTCACCTGTAAATGCCGCAGCTCGAATCCGACATGGCCTTCACATCCAAAATCACCATGCTCATCTTGCTGGAAAAGCACAGAGCAAACTCCAACAGTACCTCCCTCCTAATATCTTGGTGCCAGCACCTCTATTTTCTTTATCTTCTTCGTTATTAATTTTACATAGTGCTGGGATTGGGCCCAGAGACTCACCCATGCTGGGCAGTCACTCCACCACAGTTAGTGGCCACTGCACCCTGAAGTGTCCCACCCTGTGGCTGGCATTCCCCAGCCTTTGGATGGAGAGAACAGGGCAGAGCCCAGAGTATCCTCCAATTCAGCTCTGCCTGCTGCTTTCCCCTCCTTGGTAGAGACGTCTCTTGAGATTCAATGAAGTAGGTAAAGGGCTATTCAGGATTCCTGTTGCATATCATGTTTATTTTGACAAGTTATATTTTTCAAGAAATTTGAGTATTTGGGGGCTGGGGAGATTGCTCAGTGGTTAGGAACACTGATTGTTCTTGTGGAAGACCCAGGTTCGAATCCCAGAACCCACATGACCGCTAATAACTGTAACTCCAGTTCCAGGGGATTCGAGGGCCTCTCCTGTCCTACACGGGCATTGCACAATATGGGTGCACTTACCTACATGCTGGCAATACACTCATACACATAAAAAAAAGAAAAAAAAAGAAAGAAATTTGAGTATTTTATTGGAAGTGTTAAATTTCTTGGAATAAAGTTGTTCACAGCATTTCATATTGTGATTTTCATTTGATATCTGAAGCACATAAATCCTGCTTTTCAGCCTCCCAAGTGCTGGAACTGCAGGTGTATGCCACCACACCCAGCTTCAGGACAAATAGTGCTCTCTCTCTTTCTGTCCCTCCCCTTCCCTCCCTCCCTCCCTCCCTTCGTCCCCCCTCCCTTCTTCCTTCCTTCCTTCCTTCCTTCCTTCCTTCCTTCCTTCCTTCC